TCCAATGGCATCATTTTAGGAGTATAAGTTTATATAATATGAATAATTATGATTAACCACAATGGTGATGACCAATATATAATATGAACAATCATAACGACAATAATCAATATATAAATTGTAATCGACCATGATGATGGAACCTAGAAATAATAAAAGTAGATAAATTAACGATAATGATAGACTTTTGTATAAATTGTCGAATGTGTGTTGGAATGAGTAATGATATCAAATGAATTATGCCTTTAGGGAAAGAAAATGATATTAAATAAAATATATCTTCGGGGCTAGAAATGATATCAAATAAATTATGTCTTTGGGGAGGGAAATGGTATCAAATGAATTATATCTTGAGGTGAGAAAACAATATCAAATGAATTATGCTTTCAAGGCAAGAAATAATATCAAATAAATTATATATTTTAGGAGGAAAAAATGCTATAATAAGAAATACACCTTTGTAGCAATAACTTTTAATTTAAACATGTATTGGTTAAGATGGCAAGGGCTAAAAATGTTCAAATGCACGAGTTACAAATAATGAGAAGAATTGGTGAGAATGAATGATGTAAAATATGAATCAAAATTATTGCATTGAATTAATGAGTACATGGTTGGTGCATAATACATTGTTGAGATAAATTAATGACTAGCTAATGTATGTAATGAACATATATATGAAATGGATGATTGAATATAATCAATGTAAATTCCAAGCTATGATTATTGAAATAGATATAAGAATGTATAGTGATATAAAACATGAAATGATAACTATTAAAATGAAGAAACGATTGGGTTTGATGTAAACTCCAAACTAAAATTATAGAAATAAATTAATGAAATTATAGTTGATTTAAAACATGCATTATGGGTATTAAAATAAATAGATAAATACAATATATGTAAAGTATGAATTTTGAGTACCAAAATCACCCAGAGGATCTAGGTGATATATGTGACTATGATGATTGTTGAATTTGGTAAATAAATACGATTCTTGTAAAGCAAAAGCTATAATTATGAAATTGAGATAATCAATCCTATAATTATGATAAGGTCGACTAAAAGGTATTAAATTGGATAAACAAGTGTGATTATTTTAAGGCACAAACCATGAATAGAAAAATAAATGAATGACTCTGAAAGTTGAATTAAAGTATGAGTAAAGGAAATTGAATGGAATCAATGAGCTACTAATTAAATTAAAAACATGAGTTATGGGTATGATATAAAATTAATAAATCTCTAACTGGATTGAAGCACTAAATATAATTATTGAAATGAGTTAATGAATGCAAAATCAATATAGACCATGTGTTAGAAGTTTATAAATAAATCGAGTAACATATGTCATTAAAAGCAGGAGCTATGGTTTTTATAATGAAACAATGTATATGTTTAATTTAAAGCATGTTTTATGATTGTCTGAAAAAAAATATTAAATACATGGTTAGCAAGATTTTAAAGTATCGAGGGTGGTAACTTATAATAAAGAAATAATAGTTTATCAAAGAGAAAGTAACAAACCAGATATGATACAAATTTAAATATGCTAGAAAAAAATAAGATTAATGACATTATATTTATTACTAGAGTTGTAATAAAAATATTAGTGGCATTGAAAACAGATATACTTTCTTTATTTTCTATATTTCCATGTGATATAGGTATGTTTCATCCCTCCCTCTAAACTTAATTTTGCAAATCAGACTTTCATGGTCATTTCATTAACAAAAAACAAAATTATAAATTTGTCATGTTTATATAAATAACCTTATCGTGTATATTTAAGAGAATACACACACGTGCGCACACATACTCTAAATTTCACTTATATGATCATTAAAAAGAAAACAATTGGATGAAAAGTATGGGGCATTACAATACATATGAATCAATGAATATAATTTTTTTTTAAGTGTCTCGTGATATATGTCAGCAAGTTAAAAGAAATATATTAGTGAATTAAAGATAAAAAAGTTTTAAAAAAATAAGTTATCACTAACCTTAACCGGTTTTCAAAAGTTTTTTTTAGTAAAAGGTTGGTTATACCAAATAAAATATAAAAATTAATATAAAACATTATATCTAAGAAAAATTAAGTTGTTATTTATTTTTTATTATAAAAGTGCTTTTATTAAAGTTTATCTTAAATAGTATATACATCTTTATTATCCAAGAAAAAAACTACTAAAACCCAAAACAATTGGAGACTTGAGAATCATCACTTAAATAATTAAATGGACTTCAAGCTTGCTTTCTTTAATTATGTTCAAAATAAACCCAAATACCTCCACTCATATTCTATGAGCCTTGATAAGGTAAGATTAACCTAGTCTAAATTCACTCTTAATGATGAGGTAAAATATCTTTGCATATAAAAAAAATTCTAAATAAGCATCTGGCATGCATTAATAATTTTAAAAAAAAAACATATATAAAAACCAAAAACAAAAATAGTTTACTATGTATATTATTATTAATAATATTATTATAGTCACCTCAAAAACGACTATACTTGCAGGATAACAGTTTATTGAATACTGAAAAGTTAATAAAAGAAATATTACCGAGAACCACATTCAACTCATATATAAAATCCACATTTTGATACATACATACATACATATACATATATATATATATATATGAAAACATATCAAGAATTTCAACTTACAAAAAATAAGACCATTTTAATATTTTTTAATTCTTTATTATATAAAAATGAAAAAACTCCAATATCTACGTTATAATACCATACAAGGATCACACCATCAATACGTCGATCATTGATAAATAAAAATAGAAAAGTTAAAAACAAGCCCTCATATGTATGTTTCTATATACATATATACTCTTACGTTAAATAAATAAAAAACATTGAGCTTTTTATTGTAATCTTTTTCTGACCAAAAAAATCACATGAAAATCAAACATCACCATATATATATGACAATTGGACATGACGATACAAAAACTAAACACGACCACAAGCGAAAAAGGAAAACAACATGGAGGAGAGACAGCGGACCGCAGGAGCTGGTGGCTGGCGAATGACAATTTTACGAGTGGCTGCGGGGCTGGTTGCTGGTGGAGGGCGGCTACAGAGAGAGGGGAAGAAAATGATAAGGCTAGGGTTTTATTTTATCTCCTTTGTTTTTCCTCTCAGGTCACTTCACTTGTACTTTTCTTCTCTCTGATTCTCTCCTCTCTTTCTCCCGTGAATTTTCTCTTCCTTTTTTTTATTTGAATTTTCTCTATCTAACCTCTCTCTCCGTCCGTATTTTGGACATCATGTAGTGTTTATTTTAGATTTTTAAATTCTTTTTATCTTTTTTACTTGAAATTTTATATTTTCAAATTTTTAATTTTAGAGTTTTTTTTTTTTAATTACCCCTCATCCTTATCAACTTTGTTTTCGTCTCTCTCTTTTTTTTTCCTTTTCATTCCACTTACTAACCCTTCCCCATCTTTTTGTTTAAAATATACTGGAAAATTCTGAAATATATTGGGAAAAAAAATCAAAATCATATCAAGAAAAATTCAATTTAAAAAAAAAAATTGGTGTTCTTTTTGCTAAATAAAATTTGAAAACACGCTTCAGAAGCTTGTTAACTCATAAACACTTTGATATAGTTCAAACCTTGTTTATTTGTTAGAGAATATTTTTTTAATAAACATATTTTGAATTTCTCATGTTTAGAAAACATATTTTTTTAGCTACATTATAAAAAAAACATTCACTTTCCTATAAAGTATTATATGGAATAATATATCAAATTAATATACTTTTTAGAAAGCATATGTTGAATTTCTCATGTTTAGCTACATTAAAAAAACATTCACTTTCCTGTAGAAGAAAAACATAAACTTGAAATGGAAAGAAGCGTTTTCCAATTTAAAAGAGCAAACAATACTTTACATGAAGGATTCAAAATCAATAATATTTTAATAAAATACTTTAAAATATAATATAATTAAGAAAATAATACATTACTAATATATTTATGTAGAAAAAAATATATTAGGATATGTTAATATGCAATAAAAAAGTATATTAATTCAATATATTAGTGCATACAATACTTTAATTTAGATGATATTGCTAGAAAATATATTAGAATACAAAACAAGTTATATTATATAATAATCACATTTTAAATTATATAAATTGTGTTTTAAAAATACAATATCTTAAAAAAATTATTTTCAATCAATATCCTCCTAGAACCAAAAAGATATTTGATAAAAATAAAAATTTTACTATTTTAAAAAAGATAATAACTCAAAATTCTACTTGATGGATTATTTAAAAAAAAAGTATTTATATTTATTTTCTAATGCTTAAAGGAAATAAAAATATGGTGTACAATAAATAAATAAATAAATATATATATGTATGTATGTATGTATGTATGTATGTATGTATGTATACATGAAGGAATAATTACCTAAACCCCCTTATAAAAAATCTTTTATCCAAAAAACCTATCATAATTTTTGTATCTATTTATCCCCAATACAAAATCTACATAACAAGAAACCCAAATATCTAACTCTTACTTGATACCATTAGCTAATATTTAACAAGGTTATATCTATAATTCTATAGACGTGTAACCTTCAATATTAATTTGGCTTTTTCAACAAAAAAAAAAAATTAAGGTTTTAAAAATAAAAAAATACTAATAGATTTCACTTATGTCTATAATATTATATTTAAAATATATTATATGTATAGTTACATTTTATAAAATAAATTATATATAAATACATGATATAATATTTTTTTATATCACATGGTCAAATAGTTACATGGTAGATAAACTTGAAAATAAAATTAAAATATTAATAGATTATTTTCAAGTTCATTTTCATATCTTATTAAAATGCTGAAAAATATTTTTTAACTAAAAAAATAAAAAAATAATTCAAGATCTAGTCCCTGATTGCAAACCAAATAGCACTTTTGCAGGATAATGGAAGACATTAATATCTAGAAACAAGGTGGACTCTTTGAATTCGGGAAGGCCATTTAAACATCTCATCAACTTTTTATTCCATGGAGTACTCGCTCCAAATCAAGTGAGAGCCAAAGCACAACTCAAGATCGACTGTAACTAAATTGAAGATCTTATGTTATTACGTGATCAAGAATGCAACAGCATGCTGCCATCATTGCATGATAGCATTCCTGCACCGATTTTCTAACCACGTTAAACTTCCATTTCACAATTTATCAGAAGAAGCCAGGCCATGCAATACCTTACGGAATCTTCAAGTTTCGTTCGGACAGAGCATAATTGTCAAGAATTTACGGATCCACTTTCTAAAGTGATCGGTAATTATCACCTTACAAGTGGTATGAGCAAGTATTCGGCATAAAACAGCTGCACGAGGAACACTTCATGTTAGAAAGAGTCGCACCAATTTATTAAGTTTGGAGAAACAGATTAATCACTGTGTAAAGATGTGAAGCTTGTGTAGTCTGCCAATTCACTCTTGATATAAATAGAATGCTCCACCAGCACCCAGGCATGCACTATCTCTAATTTGGACCAGCCTAAACAAGCTCTGTGTAGACCAGACTAGCCAGCATTATTATTAATTATTTGTGATACTTCTCTATGTTTCTACTACAATCCTATCCAAAAGATTAAAAAAAAAAACGGTATGGGAAAGAGATAATAGCAACCAAGATCGAATGCTGATTTCCAGATTTTTATGCAGACTCAATCAGATCAGGTAGCAATGAAGGAGCATGTTTGTTAGATTTTGAATTCAAACTCACTAGCCATAAATGAATAAGAATAAAAAGTTGGACAACTTTTCTTAGTACAGAAAGATTGAACTCTTTACAAAATAAGAACGTAAGACTTTTTGGAATCTTTGGAATTGAATTCAATTCTAAAGCTTAAATCAATACTTGTGCTTGGAACCCTTTTGATGTATTGATTTGAATTCCAAATGGAATTCAAATCATAAAAAATAGACAAAAGGAAATCAGAGGGGAGACCCTCTAATTTGTAAATCAATTCCTCTTAAAATTAACATTGAAAGAACTATTCCAAAAATACGCTCTTTGTTTTTTTCAACAAAAACTTCTTTTTACTTCAAATTGAACATCTATGTTACCTTCTCCTACCTGATAATATGATTTTCCAGACACCTATTTACATTGTATTTAATAGGTAACTACTCTTGTATTTGATGAAAGCAATTTTTCTCTGTGGGGAAAAGGAGAATGGTGGACGCTTCTTGTTCAGCGCATAAGAGTTGGCATGATCATAGTTCAATGGGTTTCAAAGTACTGCTCTCTACTTTGTTTGACAATTAACATGGATAATTGCAAGTTGAGTCCTTTTCTTTTATTTTTCTATATTGTATATGTTTATTCTATGGTGTCTCTTTTTCTCCGCTAAAGGAAGAAAATTTCATTGAGGGAGAGAGTGGGAGAGTAGACAACTAAACACGTCCTTTACAATACAAAATATAAACAATTAACCTTCTAGTTCTATTGAATATAAGTTTAGGGCATAGCTTGGAAAAAGCTCCATGCTGAATGCCAGCATGAGGGAGCACAATGTGATATTTTTTTTATAAACAAATTATTTACTGAGAAGATATACCATGCAATTTCGAATTAGAGTCAGAATAGTTAAGATTGCTAATTCAATTTAATTCCACAGGTATTCCAAATAGTATAATTAAATTCAATTGTGATTTAGTATTTTATTCCTAACATAAGAATTGTAATAAGTTATCAATTGAATTCAGATCACATGTGGAATTGAATTCAATTTCACATTGGTTCCAAGCAAGCTGTTACATGATTGATGCAAATATAACTACCTAGCTGAAGTTTAAAATGACAAGAAAAAATATATAACAGAAATCATGCATTGAGAAGCATTACACGCTAAATAAACATGTTATCTATTCATTGATTTATTTGGAGTGACATTGACCAGTTTTATAGGGTAGTCTATTTTTACACATTCTTCCTGCAGTGTTGAATTCATAATCTAAAGTAGATGGGTTACCTTCCAAATAAACATGTAGCAGGAAGTTATTGAAGCTTTGCTCTTCAGGTCAACAGATTTGGCACGGTTCCACAGTATTGAAGCCAGGATGCCATGACCCAATATCTAGCCAAATGCAATCAGTTTAAAGCAAAGCATGAGTAAAAGTGGAAGTAAGAAAAAAATTTCATCATTCTTTTTATGAAACTATAAATAATACATGCATCCAGCCAACATCCCAATAGAAGATCTCAGACCACTCAGTATATGAAATCCCCCCTCACCCCTCATTCCAATGCAAGTTCATGATAAGACGTAAATTAGATATCCTTGTTAATCAACAGTTTTTATTATCTAAGAGTCAGTGCTAATCCATATTGGACTAAGTGTTTCTAAATGCTTCAGATTTTGCCATTTTGTAAAGGAAGCCATCATTACAGGAATTCAAAAAAATGCAGGGTCTCAGAACTCGCATGGAAGGCCAGTTATAACTTAGATTTATGCTTAGCAATAAAGATTTATGTAATCATTTCAGCTGACTTGTGGAAACATGTGTTCCAACACTCTAGTCATTTTTTTACACTTCATTTTCCACTTCAAAAACAAAATAAGGAAGAATGTATATCACTGAATGTACTCTAGAAGAAATAAAATCTGTAAATGCTCAGAAATGTCAGCTTTATAAATAAAGAAGCAAAAGCACTACCGTGATATATTTGCTCCAAGTATAGGAAGATGCTGCTCCAACCAAAATGGCAACAGCATAAGCAATTTCAAGTAATGAAATGCAGGTCCAAAATACCTGAGCAAGGGAAAACAAGTACAGCTAAGAGACATTAGTAAAAACAAAGGTTACTAGGAGTTTTACATTTCAAAAATGTATAAGATGTTCTAAACTGACCCGGTTTTGACCCAAACGCACTGTAAAAGAACGAATGCCAAATATCTTATCTCCTTCAATATCAGGTATGTCCTGCCCATACAAGGTGAAAATAAATCTCTTTAATTTACAGGAACATGTTTATTGACAAACAGCTAACTTCAAAATTGTCTGCCTCTACTCCTCCATTATTACTGAAATTAGAAATAAATAAATAAATCCCATTTACCTTGAAAAGAGCTATAACAACTGAGAAGAAGCTCATAAATGCAGTTGCAAAAATTAGAGGTCTTGAAAGGACAGGTGGTCTTCCATACACATGGCTCTGGAAATTGTCAGCACAGTAATAATTAGGCTCTTAACATGTTAGTGGCTGTGTAACAAGACTCCAAAGTCAAAAGCTTCCACACTCATTTATGCCAGAAAATTGCTTAATACAACAACGATGGTCATTTTCATTACATTCTAGTCAGAACAGTCTAAAGCACCAACACAACAAAAAGTGTCACACAGTGTTCTGCGGGTAAAATCCCAGTAAAGGTGTTTTGGAGGCCCTTAATTTTATGTACTCAATATCTTTCTAGTACCTGCATATGCAGATAGAAGGCAAGTTGAACAATCACTGCCCTAACAGCTAGGATGCACACCGCTGCAACGAACGCAAACCTTTTCCATCTCAACAGTGGCAGCTGGAATAACACAAAGATACAATGACAATTCCATTAGAAACCAACCATGTAATACATCATCATTTAAACCATCACTGAATCTTCCAAAATTGTGACCAGAAACTGATGTAATAAAAGATCCAGTAAGCACTATCAGAAAACATAATCTGCAAAGCCATTAAGTTCCAAAATATGAATGCTAATTGAACTTAACCCAGAGCAAAACCTTATTTCTTGAAATGAAAGTGGTATACACACAAAAGTGACATCTGATGCCATCAGCTTTATTAGCTCAATTACATCACTAAAATGACATGATGCCTTCATGCACAGTTCACCAATGCAAACTGCAAATTTTTTATATAGTAAACAAGAAACAAGTGCTGCAGAATGCAAGATACACAAGACAGGTATTTAATGTTTAACCCCTTAATTCCAATAAAAGAAATAATAGCGGAAAACAATGTACAAGCATGCATGAAATTAAAGGTGCGCTTGCATATGTGCACAAGCATCTGTAGTGGTAGTTCGATCAACTCACATTGATTGAATATGCTGTTCCAAGAACAAAACTGATGAAAAGAGCCCAAAATAATGGCCACGAACCTACGATCCATCCAAGCCAAAAACTCTGGAAAAAGGAGTAATTAACGTTTTTTCATTGGAATCCACAATCCAAATATAGTCAATGAGAATTCTAAATGTGGAAAGAGAAACTCCACCAACTATAATGGATGATTTACAAATACACAGTATTTTACTACAAATCATGGACCATCTAATAACATTCCCCAAGTTTCATTTGCTATTCATACCAGATCAATCGACAAGAAAGAAAAATACAAATAAATTATGATATTTCAAAAGATACCACTACAATTTTGAAAAACTGGTTTGCAGATGAAGGCATATAATCAATCCCCACCCCCCACCCCCCCATTCTGCAAGTGCGAATAATATTGCAATCAATTCTCAAATAGCATATTGAGCAATGGTTGAGCTGGCACAGCCTTGAAGTGCATGTTATGGGTCTCTCCACTTGCTAGCTTGGGATTTTCTAACCAGGATTACAGGAGCTATTCACTAATTTCTTAGGGTAATTTTGAGCAGACAGATACAGAGAAGACAACGCTATATTTACATTTTTGTGCAATCATAAGAATTCAAGAATTATCCACAACTACAAGCATGTAACAATCAACCAATAAGAATATTCTTGAATATATATACCATGATAGAGAAAGATGTAACAATCATCACACCAGTACTTATGGAATACTCCCCCGACGCCAATGGAAGATATGGCTTGTTAACCTGTAATGAAACATACAGTACACATATAGCAATGGAAATCCAAATAAACCTATCTACCTGTCTATTTTCGTAAAGTTATTCGAGCTACCTAGACAGAAAGTTGAGCAAATCCAATAATGACAGTTCAACATAATTTAGTCAGACAGGGTCAATCAAATTGCCGGAAGCAAACTTTGCAGGCATTTCTACTGCTGAACTAATATTTAAAGACTGCTAAACTATCTGATCATTTCTCAAAAAGGAAAGAAAAAAAAAGAGACTATTTGATAAATTTGGTAGAAAGTCAAGAGAAGATCTTTAAAGTCAACAAATAACTGATCCTTGCAGTCCACTGAGTCTTCAGTTATTAGTTGGAAAATTCCCATTTCTTTTGTTTTTAATTTATTAAAATGATTTACTAAGAAAAGGTACCTTGTCTATTTCGATGTCAGTCAACTGGTTTAAACCCACAATATAAATATTCATCATGAGAGCAGCAGCCACAGCCTGAAATACCAAAATAATTATTAAATAGATGATGGTGATTTTAATTATTTCAGCCAATTAATGAACTCTTTAAATTAACCTGAAATCATTGGGCATTACCTCCAACACCCCTGTGAAAAATAGTGGAGAAATATCCGAGAGCTTCTCAATTGCAAGGAGAGAAACTGATAAGATGCTCAAAGCCTGTTGACAGAGAAGTAAAGGTGAACAATTTCTTTTTCTTTTGACTGGAAAGTGTGAGAGAGAAAATCAGATTCATAAACATCAATTACATGGTGATCTTTACAAAAACTTTAGAAGTTGGAAATGGCATACAATGATCATTAAAATTTTGTTGAATTTATATGACAAACTTTGACTTAACTGTGCCTATAACAGTGTGAGGCCGTGAAAATCTGTAGAAAGCATCTAAGGCATTTTTGACAGATTTTGAAGTACTCTCAGGATTATAAGCTCCAGACTCAGATTCAAAAGGTTGCCCAGAGGTAGCATGCACTAAGAACTTAGCATTATTTTCCTGGTAATTTGTAGATTTTTTCACAGAAAATCCACTATGATGCCGCTGAAACCTAACAACACACTGTCTTTCTAGGATCTTCCTTGCTCTGCACCTGTAAACCTGAACTTCTCCTATAGAACCAGTTATACCGACAATCAGAACAATTAGGAATTGTGGTTATATAGAAGCAAAGTGAGTATGTAATTAGATGTAAAATTGTTGAAATCAGAGAGCTGGAAACAATCAACATGAACTAAAAGAACGATCCATTACTGAAACACAAATGCAGAACCATAATCCCGCCCTGGAACTAAATTTTAGGAGCAAAGGAATATCTAATTATCAAAATAAGCTATTCTACGAGAATTCATGAACTTTATCATATTTATAAAAAAAATCACATTAAAGGTTGAATAATTCAAGAGGTGGCATATTGCATATGATAATTAATAAACTATGGATCCCTTGCTCAACCATTTGTAACAAAGATAAAATGACCCCATTTTCACAACAAAGGCACCGCATAAAAATGTTATAGTAATTAATAAGCTTGCACTGAAGGACAAAAAACTTAAACAATCACCGTTTGCTCTACCATTTTTAGTAGTTTTTATTCAAACAGATCAACCAAATATAGGTTTTCAAGTATTGTCAGTTCAATTGTTTTTTTACCCCAAATTGAATTAAACTCTGATCCAAATCCAGCACAAGCAATTATAAATCAGCAGAGGTCAGAACAGAATAAAAAAGAAAAGGAAAACAACAAAATTTTGCAGAGAGAAGCCATAACATTACCAACAATATTTAGAACAAAAACAAAAATAGGAAGTAGGCAAAAACATACTTGGAGAATGACCCACTTTGAATTTGGTCTCGCCCAGGTAATTCCCATCTGTCAATCAATTAATAATTGCATGCAATATCAGATATAAATGGGAAAAAAAAAAGAGGGAAAAATAAATGAGCCCAAATAAAACAAGCAGAGAAATGAAGGGGAAAAAAAAGCGACCAGGATATATTAAAGTACAGAACAGAGATGTTAATCAAACGAGAAAAAAGGAAAAAATACCACAAGGAAGTGAAGAGCTAAGCTGAGGAAAGGACCCACGAAGCAAAGACTCCATTTTTTTGACAATCCCTTAATCAATCAAGAAATGGACTCTCAGTTGTTTTTCTCCTGGCTCCAAAAGACGTGTAGCAATCAACCAAAAACACGTGAAATGTGCCCAAAACTGTTTGCTCGTAGCCAATGGCAGTGCTGGAAATTAACCATTTTCAGACAAAATATTGCAACCCTTTTTTCTGTTTTTAATATTGGTCTAGCAACGAACGACAGGAGTCCGACTACGCTCGTTCGCAAGCATCTGGGGAAATGAAAATATCTGTCCTGTACTCCAGCTGAACGGCAAGTGGGAGGTGATCAATTTGGACAGTACTTGTTGCCATTCTTAATTAAACAAGAAACTACAACCCCTAAGTTTTTGTTTTATGTGGCTTGTCTGGATTTGCACATTGTTTTAATTTTTGTTTTTCTCACAATGGTCATTTAAATTTTTTTTTCCTGTGTGTATATTTAATTCTGTGTTGTAAAATTACTTTTTAATTTTTTTTTATTTTTTTATTTACTTCAAATTAATATATTTTTAGTATTTTTAAATTATTTTAATATATTAATATCAAAAATAAATTTAAAAAAAATAAAAAAATTATTGATATATATTTTAACATAAAAAGTTATTTAAAAAATAACCGCAATCCTATTTTCAAATAAGATCTAAAAATAATGTGCTCTATTTAACTAAAAAAGGAATTTGAGTTTATTGTATGTAAGAATTTAAAAATTAAAATACCAAAATTTAAAAAAAAAATAGCAAGCCTTTTGTTTGTAAAAAAAATTATAATATTAATTTTGATTTTAACCTTTTTTTTATTTTCATCTTGATTCTTTTATGTTGTGTTGATTGGAATTTAATTTAATTTAAATAATGCAATTATTTGTTATATATCTCAAAAAAAGTCAGGCTATTGGATTAATACTTGATTTCATGAAAAATAATCTAATTTTATTGTTTAAGAGAAATTAAAGATCATAAAAATTGAAATTGAAATAAAGATAAAATAGGAGCCTTTGAAAAAAAAAATGTGTCGGCACCATTTGCCTTTGGGATCTTATCAAATTTCTTTCTCGGTCCTTTAGTTTGTAAATTAAACAATTTAATTCAAAATTTTATTTTGCTTATATTTTGTTTCATGAGTTTGAAAAAAAATATATAAAAAATTGTCGAATTACAATGGTAAAAATATAGTGACAAAAGGTTATTTTTTAATGATAAAACTTATTATTTTTTCTACTAATAAATTTTATTCAACAAAAAAAATTTTAGTTAAGTTTTTTTTATTTTACATAAAAATATCTCGACAACCTTTTTGATTTGAGTTAAATTTTTGTTTGGATGTTTCTTTTGCGTTTTTCGAAAGGAAATTTTTTACCACTTGAAGTGGATTGTCCAGCATTCCAACCAACTGTTATAGCTAAAGTCTGCAAAATGGAAAGTAACACAATGTCTGTTGTTTGTCCCAAATATACATTTTTGGCAGCTTAAACCCTAGTGCTTGATTTTTTTTTATTTTTTTTTAATTTGTTTTTAATTTCAACTTTCAAAGTTGTTTTTTATTTTTTTAATTTTATCTTTTAGTATTTTTTTAATTTTAAATTGATTTTATAATTAATTTTAATTTATTTTTTTATAGATTTATTATAATCTCAACAAACTTCCTAGTATTTGGTTGGTGTTTAATTTTACGCGTGTTTATTTTTTTTATCGAGTAATAAAATAAAGTTTAGTTTCAAGAAAAGGTTATTAATTAAAAGTAAAGGAGTCCAGACTCGAATCGCGAATTTGATAAGTTAACTTGGGATAGTTAAACATTAAGTTTCATAATTTGTTCTAGTTTGTTTTATTCGATGTTATTATAATGTTAAACAAACATCTTATTTTGGTTGGTACCTGATTTTGCAAGTATATATTATATAATTAAATAGAAAATAGTTTTAAAAAAAAAGATTATTAAGCTCGATTAAATCCAAGAACCATGTCATGGATTTGGGGAGCTAGCTTAGGTTACTTTGAAACTGGCTTCATAATTTATTTCGATTTGTTGTATATGGGATTGTCGATCTCAAGTATACATCCTAACATTGAATTGTTGTCTAATTTTGTTAATAATTTCATTTTATCATATAATTAAATAAAAAAATAATTTAAAAAATTTTTCTCGACCCAATGGAGTCTATAACCCAGATTACAGATCTGTCGAATTGGGGCATGAAACTTGGGTAGATCCAATGGATTACTGTAACAGCTCCGCCTAACTTGCTATATATTGTTTGCTTTGGGCCTTATCATCCTTACGGTTTTGTTCCTGGTGACGTGAATCCACTTTTGAGTCCAACGCCCCATAACATGTATAACAAGTCAACAACTAACACTCTTAATAATGTCAATTATCACTCCTTCACCCCCCGCTGATTTGGGATATTACAATCCATCCCCCTTAAAGAGTTCGACGACCCCGTCAGCTAGTGAGGTTGGCTTTGATACTAAATGTAACAACCACGCTCAACTTGTTATATATTGTTTGCTTTGGGCCTTACCGTCCTCATGGTTTTATTTCTAGTGATGCTAGCCCACTTCTGAGCCCAACACCCAAAAACGCGCATGATAAGTCAGCAACCAACACTCTTAATAAGATCGATTGCCACTCCCTTGTCCCGCTGATTTGGGATATTACAATCCACCCCCTTTAAAGGAGTTTGATGACTTTGTTGGCATAGCGGGGCAACCAGTGAGATCGACTCTAATATCAAATGTAATAGCCCTATCCAACTTGCTATATATTGTTCGTTTTGGACCTTACCATCCTCATAGTTTTGTTTTTGATGATGCGAGTCCACTTCTGAGCCTAACTCTCTAAAACATGCATGACAAGTCCGTAACCAACACTCTTAATAAGGTCAGTTATTATTCCATCACCCATCAATGTGGGATATTATAATTGTCATTTAAATATTTTTTTAAATAATGATATATTGAAATTTAAGTAAAAGTCATACAATGTTTTTTTATAATAGTTCAAATTATTTTTGAAACTACCAAGCTTATTATGTAATATTAGAACAATTCTTACGTGATTTTAATATGAAACACAGTGGAACACTAGTTAAGCAGGGAATCAGATCAAAATACTTATAGGTTGACCCACTGGCTACCAAAAAGATTCCCACAACCTAAATATTTATTTTTCATGTTAAAACATGTTTTTATGCGACTTAAGGCATAACACAAACCGCCCATGTAGTTTACGTGTCTATTCAAAGGCAACTATGTGCTAGTGATTTTATTTTATTTGGTTCTTAATTTTTCAACATAAATATAACTAAGTCCTTTATATTTCAAGAACCTATAACATCACTCCTTCAGTCTAAATAAGTAAAATAAAATAGCATGCAACGTTGAGAAGTACGCTAACCAATTAAGTAGTGGCTGGACGGAAAACTGTAAAAGCAACTCACTCACAAAGGCATTGTTGGAGCACCCTTGAACAAGAAAATATCGGTACACAAATCAAAATAAAAGAAAAAAAATATTAATTAGAATAAAATAAAATAATGTATTATCTATTTATCTATCAAGTATACAATTATCGAAGAACATAGAAACAAAGGAGCATGCAAACCGAGGGATATAATCATTTGAGGGGCCATCTAATCAAGGATCATGATTTTTGAATAGCCAAGCAATTGAGAAGATTTTTTTGGAATATATATATTCAAAACTAGATTTTAATACCCAAAATAAAGGATTGCAGACAAAAGTTAAAATAAAAGCAATCACACTCAAAGCTTAAAAAATATAATTAGCTTGGTATGAAAACTAAATCATAATGGATTTAAGAAGAAGAAATAAACAACAACATCACGAATACATAATTGGCATAAAAAAACACAAGATTTAAGCAAACATAAAAAGCAATAGGAATAAAACATGCATATAACTTTGATTCAATTAATTTGGGGTCACAATATAAATTTAATATAAACTTAATTTAGATGAAACATGAAAAATAAATTATATACGAAACAAATACATATGAACATGATAATTAAATACAACAATATGCTAGAAATTTTAAAATTTATTTTCAAAGTGCACACAATTTTATATTTAAAGTTACAGAATAATATAAATAATATTTTAAAAAATTATTTAACAACTTAAATTATTGATTTGAGATGATTTTCTGACATGATATTAAAACTTTAATAACCAAAAAGTGACAAGTTTAAATCTCATTATTTCTATTTATTTTATAAAAATTAAATATAAAATAATATAAATATGTGTAATTTTCAAACTTAAAAAGTTTTTACTTGAGAGAATAGATCAAAGAATAATATAAATAATATCTTGATATTTTATTTAATAATTTAAAATTTAAAATTAAATAATTTTAAACTTTTAATAACCAAATACTCATAATAATTTATTACAACAACATGCTTGAAATTTTAAAACCAAATTTCAAAGCTAAAAAAATATTTTTTAATATGTAAACATGACAAAAAGAACACTATAATTAAAATGCACACAATTTTCACATTTAACATGAAAATCAAACAACATGCAAACAAATCATAATTTCACATCACATCGTGTTCAAACTGTTATGTATTGGATAATGTAAAAATCAATGCATCCCATCCTCCCAATCTCATCACGAGCGCTGAACACAAAATTATCACTCATCAAATTCCCACGGCAATCTTTGATCCATGGGGCATTATGAATCGTCCACGATAAATATACTCCAACATTACAAATACGCTTAAATTAAGAAATGTAGCAAATATTAGTAGTATAAAATAAAATCAGGGGATGGAAGCACCTTGACGGTCGCTGGAACTTAGTTGAAATAGTGGTGATCTATAGGCTTACATGTCATTACCAATATTGGTGTGTGGGTCCCGAGTTTCGTTATAGTTGAGCTCATATAAAAAAATTAATCAAATTAAAATTATTATTTTTTAAAATTTAAAATTAAAATTAATTCAAACCACTGATTTAAGTTTTTATTGTTCAAAAACCAATAAAATCAAGAAGCAAAACTTATTTTTGTTGTTGAAGAACTTATTTCAATTTATATG